GGTATCCGATATCGATCCGTGGGAAGGACCGCCTCGTCGGCGTGTTCCAGCATTTTGAACATAAAGATCACCTATCGGTTCGTTATAAGACTAAACTATTCGTTCACAGTCTAGACTGGCAGTGAGACCCCACTTGGAAAAAGACTGTAGTGTATTCTTGATTCAGTTGGTCTTTGACTGAAAGATTACACTAGCACTTATGTTAAGTGTTGAACAGGACCATGGAAGGATAAGGATATAACTCACTGACCGTTGTTGTGAGTGATTAATGCGTTCTCTTAAGATGTAAGATAATATAAAATAGGCATATATTTTTATTTCTTATTTATTTGATTTACCAAGTGATTCCTATTTTATTAGGATGACATACGAGGTATTTTGGTAAGTAAGAATAATTATATGATGTGCTATTATAAATTATTTACGGTCACTATGTTCCAGTGCGCTGGATTGATGACGTCCCCAAAATGAGCTCAGGAAGGAACATTATGTTAAACCCTGCAGGTAGACAATTGTCTGACATAATGGTTAAGGTCTGAGTGGTACTAATTTTGGAAATGAATAAGAAGTTGATTAATTATTTTGTCAGTAATTTAATTAATCAACTGACGTTATATCCTAAACATAGGGAGGTAAATCTATCAATCAGATTAATATTATTTAATCATGGAGGCTCGATTTTATTGATAAAATAGTGGCTAAATGGGGAGAGCAGTAATATTACTCTAGTGGGATGTTTTATTATTTAATTCCATTAAATAGGAATTAATTTTATTCCATATTAATTAATTAATTAGGAGAATAAAATTCCTACTAGATCTTCTCTTGGGATTAGGAGACTTGGGAGTCTTCTAGAAGAAGGAGATTAGTAGGGAATATATTTTCTACATTATATTATTAATTGGACTAAAATTAGGCTTCCTAAATTAGAAATTAATTCTATTCCATGATTATTAATTTAATTAGGAAAGGTATTCCTACTAGGATCCTCTCTAGTGTTAGGAGACTAAGGAGTCTTCTAGAAGAGATGGATTAGTAGGAGATCTCCTTCCTACATAAGTTAGTATTGGATTAGAATTAGGATTCCTAGGCCTAATGGGATAAGCCCATATTTAGCACCTCCTTAAGGTCCCTAATGGAGCCTATAAATACACCATGTCCCAACCTCTCCAAAAAGTTGATGTTGGCCGATTTTTCTCTTCTACATACACGAGAGAATAATATTGTTCGAGAGTTAGGGAGATTCGATTAAACGCTCCACCAAGTTTAATCGAAGTAGGTGTTTAGGTAATCCATTAGAAGGCTTTTTGGTACAATATATTGAGCCTCTAATTCCATATTTTTCGGTCA